GTACTGACTCAATGGCACCAAACATCAACAACGGCCAGTGTTGGAACACTACCAGGAAAAAGGTTCATCAATCAACAGTGCTCATTACAGTTGATATGCTCTCTGAAGAGCTGAAGCCTAAACTTCATGCAGAGGATTGCTGTTCAAGGGTATTGTGATCTTACATGACAATGCATGACCATACACCCATGCCCATTCTATTGACACTCTGCAAAAACTGCATTTTGAGGTGGTAAAGCATCTTCCCTGTAGTCTTGATCTTGTTCTATAGGACTCTCAACTCTTTGGTCCCCTGAAAGCAGCCCTTCAAGGATGAAGATTCACCTCTGATGAAGTGAAGGCAGTAGTGCATTCATGGGTCACAACTCAGCCTAAAGTATTTTTTAGTAAGAGAATATGTAATCTTGTTGGCAGATAGACAAAGTATTTTGAAAAGCAAGGGTATTATGTCCCAAAATAATGTATTTGTCTTTCCTGAAAGTTGTTGTTGTGTGCCGTCGAGTTGGTTCCTAGATTAAATAAGTTCTAAAGCCAGAGTGCTCCCGTAAAGATTTACACCCTCGGAAACCCTGTACAGGGTCGCTATGGGTCGGACCCGACTCTATGGCACTTAACAACAACAACAACAAAGCCAGAGTGCAGATAAATTTTGACTCAACCTCATGTGTTCTCCCAACTGTATGAAGCACACTCATAGTCTAATTAATCATGGTACATTTAATCCCAACTTGTCGCTAACAGCTACTGTATGGAAAAGATTAGACTGTCTTCTTCCATAAAGACTTACAGCCTTGAAAACCTTAGAGAGCAGTTCTATTCTTACTATAGGGTCTTTATAAGTAGGAATTGACTCAATGGCAGTGATTATGGTTTTAGGGGATTTCTGTCATTCCCTGGAAAATAGAACAAGTTTCTACACAGTAATTCTTGGGCAGTTGTTAACAGCCATCTACTCAGTTCTGACACATGGTAACCCTGTATAGGGTTTCTGAGGAACAACTGGTGAGTTTGAACTATTGAACTTGTGGTTAGCAGTACAATGCTTATGCTGCAACATCATATCAGGACTCCAATTCTTGTTTTTCTCAATTTATTTTGTAGAGTACTAACCATTTTCTGTAAAAAAAATTTATGTTTTATAAACATAACCCATACAATAACTTAGGCAAAGCAGAATACAATTTGAATAATTGATTAATGAGCATATGATCATTAATGAAAATGTTGTCACCTATTTGAGATGTATTTATTTCCTTAATAACATTTACCATTTTTTTATTTCAGTGGTTATGATATTCCTCTCAACCCGTTACATCTCATCCCTTTCTATGCTGGTTCACGACATCATGATTTCCACCACATGAACTTCATTGGAAATTATGCTTCAACTTTTACATGGTGGGATAGACTTTTTGGCACAGACTCTCAGTATAATGCCTACACTAAAAAGATGAAGAAAATGGCGAAAAAGATGGAATAAATCTCTTCTGTACATTCTCTTGAAGATACACATCTTGTGGAATTGAAACTAGTAGCTAACATTGCTTCTGATATAAGCATGTGTATTGGCTGCTAAGTGATAAAATGAACATTAACATTCTTTAATTATCTTCCTAATGGGAACTCTTTCTACTTTACATACAAGTCTTGTTTATGTATAAATAGATAAATATATATTTAAGTACAGTTTTCATGAGGAAATCTGAAATGCCATTTTGCTAACCTTACAAAAAAGATTTTAAATACTGGAAGAAGTATTACTCTTCACCCCCACCCCCAATTAATACCATATGTCTGTATTTAAAATTGGTTTTTAAATCTTATAAATCTGTACCACCCATTTCAAAAAACTCTTTAATTGTGGTGTTGGCCTTATATTGAACTCTAGACACTTTGTAGTATTTGCCAGAAGACTGAAATGTCATGGGTTGAACCACATCAGTTGTTAACAGTGAGTGACTGAATCTGTTGACTCAGGACTAGCTGTACTGAGGACTAATACTCTTATCTAGAGCTGACCAGTTTGAGGTGACTCTCCCTTTCTTTGTAGAATTCTTTTTGATTGCAGTGTGCTACTGCCATCTATAAGCTAAAACATTTCTGAACTGATGTAAGGGGAATATTTTAGTCTAAAGGTTCTCAGTTACCTGAATTTTTTTTTTTTTTTTTGAATGGAGGAGCTTTATTCTATTTACACTTTCATTTTTGTGTATTAAGTTTTCGTCATACTTAAATCTGTATTTTGAAACTTTAGGAACTGATTTACTGTATTTGCACTTTGTGCTATTGAAATAAATGTGATTTTTGTTTTACGTGGTTTCCATTTTTGAATATCATGTTACGCTTCTTTTATTAATATAAGGAAAATGCAGAAATCCTTAAATTATTACATTTTATAATAATAAAAGGGTTATTCCTATTTCTAAAGTATTTCATTTGCTCAACTGTTTCCTGGAAGTTTCAACATGTAATTAGTAGAAAATTCTATTAACCTGATAAAGTGAAGAGTACACCGCAGCTCTTTTTCCTCCATAGGAAATTTTTGTTTTCTGAACAGATAAAAGAACTGAAGCAAATTTTTTTAGGATCCATTCACTGTGGGTTGATGCACTGGACTGCAAAGTCACTTTGAACCTTAAGGTTGGCAGTTCAAGCTCACCAGCTACTCCTCGGAAGCAGCACTGCTATGGGTCACAACTAACTTGATAACACTTAACAACAACAATCTCAAGTAGAGGAAAGATCCTCAACAGAGATGGATTGACACAGTGGCTGCAACAGTGGACTTGAGCATAGCAATAGTATTAAAGGATACAAAGCCAATTAGTGTTTCGTTCTGTTGTACATGGTGGCTGGTGGTGGCTGTGTGCTGTGGAGTCGGTTCCAACTCATAGTGAACCTGTACAGGGTTTCCGAGGCTGTAAATCTTTACGGGAGCAGAAAGCCTCATCTTTCTCCCACGGGACAGCTGGTAGTTTGAAACTGCTGACCTTGTGGTTCGCAGCCTGATTTGGAACTGCTATGCTACCAGAGCTCCTGTTGTACAGAGGGTTGCTGAATTGGAACCAACTTAATGGCATCTAACAACAACAACCACACCATCCAAATTCTAACTCAAATCCAGAGTTGGAAAAACCAGCAGTATTTTTAAAAATGCCTTTAAGTTGATTATAACTTGTAGTGACCTTGTGTGTCAGAGAAGAATTGTGCTTCAAAGGATTTTCAGTGATGTTTATCAGAAGCAGTTTGCCTAGCCTTCCTTCCAGAGCGCCTCTGGATGGATTTTCACCTTTTGATTTGAAGCCAAGCACTTGTTTTGTGAATTTTTTTTTCCCTTTAATATTGAACCATTTTCCGATATTATTTTTTCTTTTTTTGAAACTATATAGTAAATAGGTACAAATAAGAAATTCAGAAAGTTACAGCTGGGGAAAATATTTTTGCTAAACTATTTATACTTTTTCATTTCCCTCTCCCCTTTATGTTGCAAAAACCATGTGAACAGCATATCTGACTTTATAACAGGGAAGAAGTATCAAACTCAGAACCCAGCTCCGGGCAGATTCCTATGAAACGGAGGTCAGACCTGCCTATTCCCTACAATCTACTTCTGACACCAACCATCTCTCCCACAGTAGTCTCTGCTTCACATCTGGGTTTGATAATCCATTTCAATGGCCACACACAAATCAGACTGGTTCTCATAATTATGGGGTTTATTGGGAAAGTGAACAGTGTACAATTCAGAATCAGAAACATCTCTGTATGCAGCAGTTTTCCAATCAGGAATGCTGCTTCTCTGCAGTTCTGCAGATACACCTTACCCTTGTATTTGGCCTCTCAGCCATGGCCCCTTGGCCTCTGCCCTGCTGAAGCAAGTGTTACAATAAATGCTCTTTTAGCCAGTCTGAATGCCAAAAGGACCCATGCTGCAAGTCAGCCTCCTGCCCATAGGCACTCAGCTTTACTTGATCTGTGGGCCTAGAAACCCACCGCTGTTCTGTGTCTCCAAGCTGCTGCCTCTGCCACTGTCTCTGTTGTCTTTGCTTTTCTAGGTAGGGATCTCTGACTCTACTCTTTCTCCTCTTTCTTGATGGTCCTGGGATCATCCTTTACTGCTTCTAAGATGGCTCCTTTTAAACTTATCAAATGGAAAAACTAACCAATCCCAGCATTAAGAGTCCTGTACACCCTATTTGCATAGTCCCATGGAAATTAAGAAGACTTTGAATAGAAAAGCCACATCAAGTAAATTTAAGGTTGTTAAGTGTCGTCAAGTCAGTTCCAACCCATAGCTACCCTGAATAGGGCTTCCAAGGAGCAGCTAGTGAACTTGGACCACCAACCTCATGGTTCAAACTGACTTTGCTTAATCCACAGTACCACACCAGGACTCCCACAATGTATATTTGTTATTTCTTAATTCTCAAACAGCAATCTTTGGGTTGTACTTAAAATTATGCTATTTAATTATGAAATATTGGTGGGAATTACTACCTTTCAGTTTCTAATCATGAAATGCACAGACATCTGAAGGGTTCTAAACTGTTAAGCTTGACTGCTAACTGAAAGGCTGGAGTTCAACTCCAGTTAGAGGATTCTTAGAAGATATGCCTGGCAATGTACTTCTAAAAAAATAAGTCTGTGAAAATCCCATGAAGCACATTTCTACTCTGACACACATGAGGTCACCATGAATTGCAATCCTCAGGAGTTGCTACTAGTTGGTTCAAGAGGGAGAGTGATATTTTCTAGCAACTTAGTACATTCTCATGCACTCTTCACACTAGTTAGTTAACATTTACTGAGCACATATATAGCCTGAATCATGTGGTCTTTCAATGCACGTTGCCACGTAACTTCTATGGTATGATATTTTGAATAGGCTGAGAGGGATTAAGTTGCTCAAGATCTCAGGGCTGGTATTTTGGCTTCAGAAACTATGCCTTTTTTAGCTACTTCATTATCCTGGAGATCTGTGTCTTCTATAAAAATCTCAGGGAATACTTTCTAAAGCACTTGACAGCTAACC